TCTCTCTCTCTCTCTCTCTCTCTCGTGTGTGTGTGTGTGTGTGTGTGTGTGTGTGTGTGTGTGTGTATCTCACACTCTCTGTCTCACTCTCTCCTCTCTCTTAGAGAGCCAAAGCTGGGTCAAGACAGCTCTCCTTGGGGCTCTTCGCTACTCCTTTTCTTTCTTCTTTTTGGAAACCTGGGCTGGCTCAGAAATGAGTGTGAGCCGTGATAGAGGCTTCCCTCCTCCTCCCCTCCCTCATTCTCCTTTCGCGATCCACTGACCAGCTGTGGCGGGGCTGGGAGGGTGCACACAAGTGGGGAGACCCTCCTCAGGTGAGCAGCCACCCGGCCCACATGCACCTTTGCTGCCCAGCTGCTCGGATAAGGGTCTCTCCGCTCATGCGCACCGTCCCAGCCCCACCACAGCCAGCCAGGAGGTCGCAAGAGGAGGAGGAGGGGGTCACACAAAGGGAAGCCTCCACTGTGGCTCATGCTCATTCTTCAGATAGCCCAGATTTCCAAAAAGTTGCCAAGAAGAAAGGCGTAGCAAAGAGCACAAAGGAGAGCTCGCTGGGTTGGCCCAGCCTTGGCTTTCCGAAACAGTGAGGAGAGAGAGGAAAATACACACACACAGACACACCCACAGACATACAGAGTGACACAGAGAGAGGGAGATAGAGAGAGAGGAGGTAACAGAGTGGGAGGGAGACATAGAGAGATACAGGGGAGGGAAAGAGAGGAGGGTTGCGGTTCCCAGTGGTTTTTTAACAACTGGTTCTCTGACCTAATGACCAGCTGGGTAAGTGTGGCTAAGGGGTCATGTGACTGGGAGTGAGTGATGTCGAGTTGGCCATTTATTTGATTGTGAAAATGTTAAATGGCTGCCAGAAAATCCAACTTTATACAGCATTGATGGGAATTTTTCACTGTATTTAAGATTGACAACTTGTAGAAAATATGCATTCAAAAACTTAACTCACCATTTCAAAGGGGTACCTTCATTTTCAAACCATATTTCTCCGATGTCCTCTCGTCTCATAACCTTTTGAAAATGTTTTTTCACTTTGTCAGTTACAAGTGTCAGGTAGCTTATCCTAGGTAAAAGCAGCTGAAAAACAAAGTTTGAAATTGGATTTTGCATATTTTGTGAACAGATTTCAAACAGAATGTATGGCTTTAATTCAAAATTTTTAATTTAAATTAAAATATACACTATAAAGTATACATGCACTATATTGGATTACCAGAAAGATAGAGGAATTCTTCCTATTCCACCATAATAAGATGTTGATAAAACAATACGGCATTATTATCTATGGAGATTCTCAATCATCCAGGTCATGGCTGTCCCAAAGGTGCTTTTTCAGAGCTGAAGAAGCTTCTTGAATAAGAAGCGAAACATCTTCAAAGAAAAAACAAAAAATCTAGTTGCCACTTGAAAAAGCACCTTTGGAACAATAAAGTATTATTGTTCTTTCAATCCCACAAATACAAGGTTAAGGAATTACAAATAAGCATGTTGCACTTTACGGGGCAGGAAAAAAGAATGCCTTTTTATGTTACAAAACACAATAAAATTTCTTCTGATTCCAGACAATTAAACATTAATTTCAATATATAGTATGTGATTTTTAAAAACACACTGCACCATAATAGACTGAAACCACAGAAGTGAGCTTTATTAAGTTTTAGGGGACTGACATTCAAGCAATTAGATTGAAAATTGTGGTCATAAAAGTTAAGGAGACAATCTACAATTACTTGCATACTAATTACAGATTCAGGCAAACCTTCATAGACAGAATAAAAACTTCATAAGCAATGTATTCCATTACAAATGAAATTTGGACATACAGGAAAATGTTACTTACAATAATCATGAATTGTAGGTAAAGGTAAAGGTTCCCCTCGCACATATGCGCTAGTCGTTCCTGACTCTAGAGGGTGGTGCTCATCTCCGTTTCAAGGCCAAAGAGCCAGCACTATCCAAAGACGTCTCCGTGGTCATGTGGCTGGCATGACTAAATGCCAAAGGCGCACGGAACACTGTTACCTTCCCACCAAAGATGGTGCCTATTTTTCTACTTGCATTTTTACGTGCTTTCAAACTGCTAGGTTGGCAGAAGCTGAAACTTGTTACACGGTGCTAGGGGTTTGAACTGCCGACCTTTCTGATCGACAAGCTCAGCATCTTAGCCACTGAGCCACCGCGTCCCTTCATGAATTGTAAGACATCAGTAAAATTTACATTTTATTAATGAATGCTTGTAAAGTAATATAGAAAATAAAACATCCCACATCACTATACTGCTATCTAAAAAAAGAAAAGATTAAAAGAACAGAATGAAAAGACAAAAATAATCAATAACTTTCTCAGGCCAACTCAAAATTTACAAAATGGTGTATAAATGGTTTTGTTTCTCAGAACTCTTCACCAGGTAAGATAGTAAGTGAACAGTTCTTAGGAAGTCAGAAACCTGAAGACTGAATCATAAATTACTGAATAATTCTCTGGGTTGATACATCACACTAAGCCAGGAATATCAAACTCAAGGCCCGGGGTCCGGATCCACAGGGTGCTTAGATCTGGCCCATGCGGCAACCCGGAAACAGCAAAGGAGAGGCCCACGGTAACTCTGCCAGCAAAAATAGAGCTCATGGAGTCCATGCAAGGCCCATGTGGGCTCCGTTTTAGCCCTCTGCAACCGAAAATGGAGCACCGGGGGGGGGGGGGATATGTGGCCTGCCTGGGCTCCATTTTTGGCTGTGACAGTCTCCTGAAGGCCTCTGCCAGTGGGGAGGCATCACACTCCGTTTTCACTGGCTGAGGGCTGCAGGACGCCATCACAGTTGAAAATGGAGCCTTGATGAGTGACATCAAACTGGCCACACCCACCTTGGCATGACTCCAATCCCTCCCCCTGCCCCCTGAAATCGAACACAACCCTGATGCGGCCCTCAATGAAATTGAGTTTGACACCCTTGCACTAGGCCAAAAATAAGCCACAATATGACTTTGTATGATGTGTGAACCCAGCCACAATAATCTTCAATTATAGTCTTTGATGGAGTTATAGACTTACATAGTATGGTTCCGCTTCTCTTTCGGTACTCTCATCTTGATTCAACATAAAACAGGTTGGTATTCTTCCAAACCACACATCTCTGAGTACATCTTTGTCATCTGTCATTCTTCCAGGAAGTGCAGAAACACATCTAGGCTAAATTATTCCTTAGATAACCCACTACAAACAAAAAACAAAGACTTGGCTTTTAAACCCACATGATTATCTGAATCATATCATCCTTTTAGTATAGGATTTTCTTCTTGAATTTTCAAATTATGGTTAGTTGAAAAAAGTATTACTATCTTCACATTGCATAGCTTCCTAATGTGTGATGATATTCTTTATGAATTGATAACCTATGCTCTGAATTTTTTTAGTTAAAAACAATAAACTTGTATAATAAATCAAATGTAGTCTAAATGCTGTTGTGATGAGATTTCTTCTAACCCATTTTTATGCTTCAGCAAATGGTAGCTTTGAAGACAAAAAGCAATTTTAGTAGGGGTGCAACTAGAAGGGAACAACTGCACAGGAAAAGTATGCACATGAAAATCAAGAGATCTGTAAATTCTTCTTAAAGCTAGAGATAGAGATTTGCTTTAAATAATGAGCAGCTTACCAAGTCCATTCTAACTTCTCAGTACACCGTCAAATAAATAAACAAAAATGGCAGCATGCTTTAACTTTAACACAAATCTGTAACTGCCTAATAGGAGGGCTTTATTTACAAAATTCTCTAAAAAAATATCCTCATTTTACCAATCTCAGGATAGAAGGCCAAGTCAACTTAAGCTGATCAGAATGTAATTCCTGGCAGTGAGTTTTTGAGTGGCAATAGTGGTACCAGGGTTGAAGTTGTTTAAGGTGTCTCTGTGTATGTGCGCGTGTGTGCGTATGTGTATGTGACATGCCAACAGTCAGTTTTGCCATTTTCTGGATTTTTGACATGCCGAGCCCAAAAGATTTGCCATCTCATGCACACATTCTCACACACACACACTCTTTTGGGAGTGGGCATCTGAATTTCATTTTTAATGTGTGCCAAAAAAAAGTGTCAATAACACTTAACTTTTCTTATCAAACCTTTTGCCAAGCAAGCAAGCAATGGTGGCGCAGTGGTTAGAGTGCAGTATTGCAGGCTTACTCTGCCCATTGCCAGGAGTTCAATTCTGACCTGCTCAGGATTGACTCAGCCTTCCATCCTTCAGAGGTCCGTAAAATTAGAACCTAGATTGTTGGGAAATATGCTGACTCTGTAAACTGCCTAGAGAGGGCTGTAAAGCACTGTGAAGCCATATATATGTCTAATTGCTATTGCTATCACTGTTCTAGACTTTGTGGAGGCAGCTACAAGTCATCCAGTAGCACTGAGATTCTGGAAACAGGATGAAGTTTCAACTCTTTTCCTTGTTTTGGGGAGAGATTAACAGGAAAACTGAGAACAGAAAGCATCTGAGAAGAAAATAGTTCCTTTCCTCAAGCTCAACTCTCCAAACTCTGCTATTTAGTTCACGAAATATACCTCTGAATCTCAGAAGCAGGATCCACAAACTGATTAGCAGGTATTAAACAAACCTAACAAGCAAGCAAGCAAGCAAGCAATCTCTCTCTCTCTCTCTCTCTCTCTCTCTCTCTCTCTCTCTCTCACACACACACACACACACACACACACACACAAAACAACTGCATTAGCTTTCCCCAACTAAAGCATTCGCCGGCTGACAAAAGTGCAGACTTTTATACAAGTAGTCCTCGACTTACAACAGTTCGTTTAGTGACAGTTCAAAGTTACAGCACTGAAAAAAGTGACTTATGACCATTTTTCAATTACCACCTTTGCAGCATCCCCATGATCATGTGATCAACATTTAGATGCTTGACAACTGGTTCATCCTGATGACCATTGCTGTGTCCCAAGGTCACGTGATCACCTTTTGATAAGCAAAGTCAATGGGGAAGCCAGATGGATTTAACAACCGGGTTATCGACTTATCAAATGCAGCAACTGACTTAACAACTGTGGCAAGAAAGGTCATAAAATGGGGCAAAACTCATTTAAACAAACGTCTCACTTAACCAAAAAACGTTTGGACCCAATTGTGGATTTAAGTCGAGGACTATCGTACTCTGGAGTTTCCTGCCCACAGGAAACTGTAGTGAATGCTTGAAACTTGTCCAAATAGTCTGGAGGGCGGCAATGGACGATTTATATTATGGCAGACAATCAATCTTACTTAAGATGGGAGAGGGGCAGGGAGGAGGCCACCTGGCCTTCTCCAACTTTGGATCTCATAAACCTGGAACTCACCAAATAGCCACCCAAGTTGTAGCTTATAGGATTTAATAGTTAGCACTGGTTAATTCACCAGGTGTCCAATGAGCATCATGGGGAAACGCCATGCAAAGGTTAAGCCGCATGCAATCTCTTGAAGCAACAGAGTCTTGGAAACCCATCCCGATGTTTCCCAAATTAATGGGGGGGGCGACTCTTAAGGTACGAATTTGCCGTGCCTTTATGCCGTGAAGATAATCAAGGTTGACTCAGCCTTTCCTCCTTCCCAGGTGGGTAAAATGAGGACCCAGATGGTTGGGGGTAATAGGCTGACTCTGCAAACCGCTTAAACAGGGCTGTGAAAGCATTATGAAGCAGTATATAAGTCTAAGTGCTACTGCTATAATGCCGGGGCAAGGAAGCGTGCGTATGCAATGCATTTCCCTTGTACAATTAAAGCGCAACCTGCAGCGCCGCAGGGAAAGCCCCGCGGAAGAGGAGGAGAAGGAGGAGGAGGAAAGGAGCGCGAGGAAAAGGCAGACCAGAACTCTTCCTCTCGCGGCGGAGAGGGGGGGGGGGAGAGTGAAGGTTCCTCCATGCGACACACACACACACACCGCCGCATATGCCGCTCGGACGCCCCGAGACCAAGAGAGGGAAGAGGCAACGCAATCGTTACCTACCAGTCGGTTTCCGTCTCCAGCCGCGCCTCCCGCCCCCTACCTCTGCGCCCTTCCGCTGGCCGCTCTCTCACTCGCACCTCTCCACAACGCGCAAACTCCACTCCGCCTCGCCCCGCCCACCAAGGAGGCCTTCCTTTTAAAGACGCCGAGTCTTGAGGGAATCACGTGACTCGGCTGGAGTCTTCCAAACTCCCAGACCAGAGAGAAGCTCCGGCCGGTGCGATTGTTTTGGTTTCTGTTGCAACCCGGAAGTGCTGGATCATCATAGAGACTACAGAAAAAGAAACGTCCTCGCGAGCTGAGGTTCGGCTGTAATGGATGCGGCCCTCTAGGGGGCAGTATACTCCCCAGATTTTTACATTTTACGGATGGCCTGGCAAATGATTCTACGGCGCCAAAGAAACTAACCCTCCCAGCCTACTTTGCCAATCAGCCATCCGGAGTTGCTGGAAGTTGAAGTTCAGCAAATTTGCAGGCGGTGTAGAGCAGTGTTTCTCAACCTTGGCTACTTTAAGGTGTGTAGACTTCAACTCCCAGAATTCCCATTTACTGAGGGGATGTTGGGAACTTGAAGTCTGCACATCTTAAAGCTGCCAAAATTGAGAAACAGTAATGTAGCAGTTTGAATTGCAGCCTCTTTTGTAGAACCAGGAAAAATAAAGTATGCTAATTTGGCTACAGGGAAATTTTAAAACTCCTCTTAAGGTCATCATTCGCTATACGATCAAAGAAAATAACAAAGCAATTTATTAGGAAGGTGGATTGGGCTATTCTACATGTATTCATTGAAATGATTTATTGTCTCCAGGAGGCTTACACTGTTTAAAATGTAATGACAGCTAAATATCAGACCCGCAAACTTTCTAAAATGGAAGGCCCTTGGGAAAAAGGAGTTAAGGCCTAAGTGGGAATAGCTCCTATCAACTTAGTATGTTGCATGAAGCCAGCCTTGATGATCTGTAAATCATACTGTATAATTTAGTGATAGAACCTTGCGGATTTATTTCAGTCATCAAGCCATGATTAAGTAAACTGTGGCTTAGCTTGCTGTATATGTATTTGTGTATATGTATATATTGGTGTTATTGAAAAACGTAATAGCCACAGGTAAGAGAAAAGTAAAGAAAGCACATTTAATGAACTGTAGCTATTAAAAGACTATTGGGCAAGTTGCAGCTTCAATCAGTTTTGAAGCAGCCAGATAGTTATGCGCAATTCCAAAGGAAATACATTTGCATTGCTTTGAACATAGATATAATTAGACATTCAAGGTGGGGTTCTGTGAGAATGACAAGCTTGGGTGAAACTCAACATAACCAAAAACTAGATAAACTGGTTTCCAGTATAATAAATAAGGCAGAATCTTGTACAATAGCAGACAAGTTGAACAACTAAAAAGGAAAAAGTATGTAATACAATACATTATTGCAGATGATAAACCTTCAGATGATAAATCAGGAAGAATTCCCACTGGGAAGTCAAACAAAGTCTTCTATGAAAATCCTTTTCTTAAAATATATGTTTGGTCTGGCAATTAATTTTTCACATGGATTCTTTGCACATTCCACATTTTCCGACTTCCGGTGGGGCAGTAGGTCCGTTTTTCACCCTCCCCAAGCTCCAAAGGCTTTCTAGGAGTCTGGGGAGGGCGAAAAACAGCACAACACGCAAACTGGAAGTTCAGGAACATTTCCGGGTTGCCCGTTGGCCTGTTTTTCTCCCTCCGAAGGCTTCAGGAGGCTTCCGTTCCCGAACTTCCGGTTTGTGTGTTAGGCAGTTTTTCACCCTCCAAAGGCTTCAGGAAAGCCTCCGGAGAGTGAAAAATGGCCGAAAATCAACGCTGAAAATTAGCTGGCTGGAGTTGACAGGACAACACCTTGCGTGCCCTCAGAAATGGTTCCGCGTGCCACCTGTGGCACACATGCCATAGGTTTCCCATCACGGGTCTATGAGGTCATGAAGAGTCAGATATGACTTACCACTGGGGTGTCAAACTCGTTTTCATTGAGGGTCGCATCAGGGTTGTGATTGACCTTGGGGGAGCCAGGGGGAGCGTGACCACCTTGACATCACTTGTGTCAGGAGCGCCTGTGGTGGCCTGAGTGCATCTGCCAGCAAAAACGGGCTCCCAATGTCTGTTTTTGGCTGGGACGGCCTTCTGCAACCCTCTGCCAGCAAATATGTGTCCCTCCCAAGCTCCATTTTTGCTGGCAGGTGAGTGCAGGAGGCCGTCACAGCCAAAAACGGAGATTGGGAGCCCATTTTTGCTGGCAGATGCACCGCGGACCAGTCCTGCACTGTTTCCAGTGTGGCCTCGTAGGCCAGATCTAAGAACCCCAGAGGCCGGATCCGGGCCAGGAGACTTGGGTTTGACACCCCTGACTTAGCAACTGAGCAACAAAAAGCTTCCTTAAAGGATCCTTCTTTAGTCATTACAATTTTTATTTGAGTAAAGAGGTTTTTAAAAAATACTGATCTTTGAACATACTTTTATTTCTCAGGATCAGACAGGTTACAGTATATTCAAAATACAAAATAAAACCTTATTTTAAAATGAATTATTTAAAAAGAGGCAAAAAATAAGCATGATAAATCTTGCAGTTTACTGTGAAATAAAACAGTGTGATAGAGAACTACAACCTCTTTAAGAGAGCCAGAACCTGGCTGCTACAATAAAAAGGATTATAGCACACAGCTGTTTTTCTGCTATTCTGTGACGCAAAGCAGAGGTTCATAGTCAGAGGATGTAGTTGATCAGGTAGTTCATTCTTTAGTATTTGTTTTGAAAGCAAAATACCATTCTCTAGTCCTTCTTTCCAAAAATGCTTCTTTGCCCTCTCACCCTCACTCCACAATCTTGAGTATTTATACATGCTAAAAAATAATGGCTGCAGCCTGATGCTTTCTTTCAAACTGATTGTCTCCCCCACCCCCAAGTAAAAAGGAAAAGATAAACTGACTTACAAACTAAATATTTTTTTAAAAAAATAAGGAAAAATTATGGGCCAGAGAGTGATTTCCTATGGCTGAGCAACTTCTGCTAATTGAACTATTTGCAGTTTTAAACCAATCAGTAGTTTAGCATCGTATGTTAACTCAGCCAATATAACTTAGTGAAATGAATGAATCTGGCCAAATAGTATAGCAATGTTTTCTAACTTTCTTAATATTATTTCAAGAATCAGATTGCAATTGAAATTTTATTCTATCATAATTCATACAATGTGCAAATAAGTTCTAAATAATTAGATTATTTTGGGTAAAACTGAATTGTATTTGTTGCACTTTAGTACAAAAGGAAGTGGCCAGATTAAGTAAGGGACTACAGTAATTTAAAAAAAAGATATTACTTCCATACTGTAAGTTTATTCGTACAGAATTTTGCATAAATATAGTAGTTGTCCCATGAGTACCATACAGTATGCTCTTGCAAACTTATTTTGACACCACTAGGTGTCGTAGTGCTTCTATCACTTCTGTAACTTTTCTCATATGAGAAAAAGTATTGCAAGTTCAAAAACATTTAAGGAAAATTTCATTTAATGAACAGTTGCTTGACAATTCATTAACCAAAATGTTCCAAGAGGGCCCTTATTTTTCCAGGTTTAAAAAAATAAGACAGCATCTTATTTTTAAGTTTTTAAATAGATGTCTCCACAGATTGACTACTATACTTATTTAAAATAATACCCCATAAAATCCCAAACAAAAATACCAAAAATATTAGTCCTCCCCTTCCCCTCGTATTACTACGTGTCACTGCCATGCCATCTGGATTTTGGTGGCTGACTGAAAAAAATGTAATCACTGGCTAGAAATGTTTACTACCTTAACTAAGATTTATTGAGTAAGCCACAGTGATAAAATTACATATCACATTAAATATCATACAAACATGATGTATGATTCCAATCAAATTCTCTGTTGGAGAAAGTTGCAATATTTCAAATAGCCATTGTATTATTGACTAACAGTGCCAGTTGCATAATGCAAATTCCATTACAAGTTCTTAAAATTTAAATGATGCATGCCATTAAAGCAAAACAAAAAGGAAACTCTTAACATGTCTCCCTCTGCTGCATTCCTCCTACCTGCTGCAAAATACGAAAACCAGAAAGGCATTTCCCTCTTTCTGCTTTGGCAGTCTATGGCAAGTAAAACCTCTGTGGTTGAATTCTATATTCCAACCTTGGATATAATGGTGGGAGGAAGTAATGAGATGTGCATCATAACATTCTAGCACAAAGGCTGTTCTTTTTATATTTGCAACATCATATTGTAAAAATGTATGTAAGAAGTGGAATTTGCAGTATGATATCATGATATGCATTTTATCATGGTGATTGAAACTATGATTTCAACCAGTGATGTGCGGTGAGGTTTAGGGTTGGTGAGGCAAGAGCGCGGCGGCGGTGAGAAGCAGCGTCCCTGCCACTGTCCCCGACAGAGGCATCTCGTGTTTATGTCCGCCATAGACTTGAGATGCCTCTGTTGGACACAGCGGCGGGGACGGAGGAGGTGGGGGCGAGGCGGCAGCCGGCGAAGAAAGGGGAGAGGAGGAGGAGGAAAGGGAGAGGGGAGCAGGACGGGGCTCCCGGTGGGGGGCAGAGG